GGAACAACCACGTCTTGAGGGCGCGGCGGAAGGAAGGGAGATCAGGGATCACCCTGATCTCTGGGGGCAGTTCGTTCCAGAGGGTGGGAGCTCCCACAGAGAAGGCCCTCCCCCTTGGGGTCGCCAGCCGGCACTGTCTGGCTGACGGCACCCTGAGGAGACCCACTCTGTGAGAGCGTACAGGTCGGTGGGGGGTAGTATATACATGTCCAAATGAAGACATGCCACCTGGAAAAGCTTCATGAATGTAGCAGTTTCCTTAGCGTGAATCACTGCTTCCAAGAAGCCTGTTTGCTACACTGGTTATGATTAGCATGTGTTGCACTTGGAACAGGGCCAATAGCTTTCAATATTTCATTTTTCAGCTGGTGGGACAGCCTGTCCTTGGATCTGACATGTCTTTCCTCAAGTCTTGCCTCACTGCCTGGCCACCCTTAATCATTGCTGAGTCCCGACAGTGGCTTACTACTCTACCTTCTGGATCTTGACGGCCGAGATGTAAGCCTTTTGCAGTCATGATCTTGGACTGCTTGATTGGGCTGTGAGTGCTTTTGGGCAGGACACTGAGCCTCACCTGTTCCTTTTTTGCAAGTGAAGGGCAGGTGGTAATTGCAAGGGACATCATTCCATTCCCCCTTCTCATGCCAGATCATTACTACACAGTCTTCGTCTTTGTCAAAAAAGTTATCGGGCTGGTTAGGTCGCCAGTTCTCATATTGCTAAAGAAAGAGAGAAAGAGATCTGGGGTAAAACAGAGAGTCAGATGAAGTGGGGAGGGACAAAGTCATCAGACCTTTCACAGTTTTCCATATTTTTAAAGTGAGAAGCAGTTGCAGCTTTCCTATAAAGAGGTCTTGCTCTGTAATGCTGGAATTTGAGGCTCATCATCTGCTTCCTAGGTAAGATTGTACTTTTCCCATCAAACCTTCATTTTCCATTATGAATCACAAGCACCTTTGAGGAAGGAAGGAATTTTAATTAAGGAAAACACATAATCCATCCTGCCTTACAGATGCCCAACCTGTTTTTGGATGACAGAGTATCTCGGCTTCTGAGGGCTACATTCTAAAGGGGGCATTTCTAAGATTAAGGATGGAGCCAAGACCAATATGGATTTAATTGGGTCGCCCTCTCAGTATTAGTCAAAATGGAAAGACACCATGAGTAAGATTACTCCCTGTATTTTTAATCATTCCCCTCCTGTAACGTTAAAAATGATTATTTGGTGGGTTCTGGAAATTCTCTCTAAGACTTTGGGTTGCTCTAGGAATATCTGGGGACTTGAGTAATATAGTTGTAGAGTAAGAAGGATGATTTGTGTCCATAACTGCTTCCCATACTTCCTCCTGTACGTGTAGTGTTTCTCCTATGGGCACTGCCCAAGTAGTTGTCCTGTAGGATTCTTGGATCTTGGAAGCACTGATTTCCCAACAGTCCAGAAATATCTATATATTTGATATCTTCCAGAATCTAACTTACAAGAGAATGTCCATCAGACCAGCGAAAGTCATCTTCCACTGCTCGGTCACTTAGTCCAATCCACTGGTAGTTCTGTGCATTGCCTAGATAACACGCAGAGACAGAGAAATGAACAATGAATGCTGGTTTATTTGGAAGCAGAGGATGACTCTCTGAACTTTGAGCCTAAGAGCAAGATTCAAACTAAACTATGGAGCATTTCAAATTCAATGCAGAAAGGTCCTTTGGAACGCCCAAACTGCCAACAGTTCTTTAAAGCAGCTGCATCTTTTCCCAGCACTGCACATCTGTGTTGCGCCAGGATCCCTGGAAGAGACATACATGGTTTAAGGATTTACCGAGAGATGCTGTGGCATGTGAAGCATTTTCTTGCTTTTGAATCCAAAGCACTGCACAGCTCCAGCTTAAGTAATGATCAGATTAAATGAGGAACAGTTTTTTTCTTTCATTCAGTAAGTAATAATGAGGTATTTGGTCTGGTTTAATTTTAGAAAATACAGCGGACTGGAGTGATTCGGTCTTCACGTACCCTTAAAAATTCTTCCATGCCCTGGAAAGTAATTAATGATAACCTGTTGCTATCAGCAGCGATGGGAGTGGCTTTATTATTCATACACAAGGGGCAATGATCTTTTTGGGTGGGGAGAAGAGTCAAACTGAATATTTATTACCAGGATACACAATTGGATCCTACTTTCAGGACCTATTTATTTTTCAGAACAAAAAACCAAAAAGAAGCAAGGTGGAATAATTTTGGAAGAAGTCAGGGACTCCTTCAGGCTCAAACCATCCCTTCCTGGAGACATGCGTAGAGTTTTTTTGGCAGCCATCAAGAAGTAGTTGGCCATTTCCTTTCTTCTAACCTAAACACGGGTTGGTTTGATTTTTCTTCTGACCAGATACTAACCAGATTTGACCTTACTTTTCTTGTCTGCCAGCTACTGCAGAAAAAAAAACTCCAGTCATTTCAGAAACTCACAAGCTTAAAATGGCTGCCCTCTCAGGAAAGCCTCCCTCAAGGATTACGGCGAGATAACAAATGGGGATAATTGTGTATTATTTCCTGAGGTAAATAGGACCAAATAAGATTTCTTTCTTAAAATAATGACTTCCTTCTCTTCTTATGTCTAAAGAACAATGACTTGCCCAGCGATAAAACTGTGGTATACCAATTATGGCTGACTTCAGTCATTACTCATTTTCTTTCTTTCTTTTTGGTAAAATTTTTATTAATTTTTCCCATACCGTTCAGTAGTGCTTATTCAACAACGTGTTGTCTGAGTTTATCATTCATTAATGCAAATTTAATTCCTAATCCTTTATTTTTTCTCTCCAGCCATTGATAAAACAAATCCCAAATCTGATAGTATTCTGTTTCTTCTTTTTCTTTCAACCTCATAGTGAGTCTGTCCATTTCCGCACATTCTAATATTTTTTTAATTATTTCTTCCTCTGATGGTGTTTCTTCTTTTTCCCAATATTGTGCAAATATGATTGTTACTGCATTTTCTTAAAATAGTTTCATATTTATTTTTTCTATCGGTATTAAAATGTTGCCTTGGATCCATGTAAAAGATTGATTTTCTCCTTCCCCCAGCAAAATCAAAGATGGCCAACCCTGGTTTGTTCAAACCAGATTTTCATTTTACATGTCAGCACTGGCAAGAATTTGAACAGACGAGTAATGAGCACCATAGACTGGGAACAGGGATCAAATGATTCAGTTTCACATGGATACCAAGCTGACTTTTATGGGATGGGTGGGTGCTGAACATTCAGATAGAAGCTTCTAGATGTTCTTGTGAGTGGTAAACCATGGGTCCACACGAGCCTTCAGTTTAGAAATGCAGCTAGTCAATTGGAATATGAATTGATCTGAAGCCTCAAATTGGACACCTCTGAATTGATTTGGATGTTAATCAGCAATTTGGGGGCCTTTTGCATCTGGAGAGAAGTACTTGTTCCAAATTATTTCAGAAGCCTGAATTAGATCAAGTCAGGTCTTTGAATCCATTTGAAAATCCAAATTACACTGTGAGTGACTGACAGACCCCTAGTACACCATTACATCCATATCAAATAGTTTTCTAAAATGGTCCATTTTTCATTTCCAAGAAATGAAAGGCCTCTTTAACTGATATGTGTTTTTTTTTATAGGAAAAAAACAGACATCCTCCTACAGTATCAGTCACGGGGTGTAGCCCAAAGGTATATTAAAGCACCTAATAACCAGGACCATTTTATTAAAAATAAATAAACTGCAAGGTCAAATGCAGATATTCTTACCTTTTCTGCCATATTTCATTATGTTTTTACTAGCTATTTTCTTTTTTTTGTAATTGCATCTATTTTTGGGAACCTTTTTTTGTTATACTTTACCTAGAAATTATTGATTACTCTAAATCTAATCTACTTGTTAATTGTGAATTTTTCCTTTTTAACTAGACTTATATGGTTTATGTATTCCCTTTATATTAGAGATTTCATAGCCTCCCATCTTATTATCAAGTTTGTATGACATTTTTTTAAAAAAATAAAAAACAAGCTCTAAAACGCACGTTTTGCTGCTTGACCAGTGTTAATGTAAAATTATTATTATTATTATTATTATTATTATTATTATTATTATTATTATTATTATTATTATTATTATTATTATTATAATATTTGGATTTATATCCCGCCCTTCTCCTCACGGACAGATCCAAGTATTATGGCTATTTTAGAGATCTGTCAAAGGCAGTTTTTAGTTTTAAAGCAAAAATATATGAATTCAATAATCAACATTCAAACAGAGGGAAAAAAGCAGGGTAAAAATTGATGGAATGAATGCAGATTTGTTATTAATGATGAATTTATGATTTCCCCCCCGAAGATGTACATGCTTCGATTTTCCATGTCCAAATAAAATTAATAACTTATATAATTTCAAGTTGCTTGGATATTCAAAGGACATTCAATACTCAGATTTAGAAAAATCCTAAACACCTCACTCCAGAAAAGTAGCAGAGATTGGCAGCAATTTACAAATCATAGTTTGAGAACCTATAATCTAGTCTAGCTTGTCCCATAATTGCTACTGAATATCACCTGAATGGTAGTATATTTAACACATTTACAGTGCACCCAATTATTTACTGAAATTCTTTGGGTGGATTAGAACATGAATAAAATATTAAACTTCTACTTGAAACAGAACATGAAAATATGGAATATGTTACAACTGAAAAGATTAGCAAAATGGAAATAAAGGGATAAATCAAGAAAAGGATTTGGACAAGGAGCAGTTGCAACAGGGAATCCTGGACAATGCCTCCTTGTTGGATTCACAGAGAAGCTTGATAAAACATCTGAAAAATGTTTTGGAATATCAAAGAATGCTGAAAATCCGTCAACACAACTGGACCAAATCAAAGG